CACATTGGGTCTTGCAGGATGCCGGTGGTCTGGACTTGGATTCTCCAATGCCGCATGGTGACAGCTCCCTCACCCTACCAAGTTCCTAGGAAAAGGGTCACATGGGGTCCTACAGAAGTGCCGGTGGTCTGGACTTGGAATGCCAGTGGTCTGGGCTTGAATTCCCCAATGCTGCATTGATGACAGCTCCCTCACTACCAAGTGCCTAAGAAAAGTTCACAGGGGGCTTGCAGCGAGTGCGGTGGTCTGGACTTGGATTCCCAATGCTGCATGGGTGAAAGCTCCCTAACTACCAAGTGCCTAAGGAAGAGGTTCACATATAGGTCTTGCAGCGAGTGCCAGTGGTCTGGGCTTGGATTCCCCAATACCGCATGGGGTGACAGCTCCCTTAACCTACCAAGTTCCCAATGAAAAGGTTCATATGGTCCTACAGAAGTGCCGGTGGTCTGGACTTGAATGCCAGGTCTGGACTTGGATTTCCCAATGCTGCATTGATGACAGCTCCCTCACCCTACCAGGTTCCATGAAAAGGTTCACTTGGGGTCCTACAGGAGTGCCAGTGGTCTGGGCTTGATTCCCAATACCGCATGAATGACAGCTCCCTCAAGCTACCAAGTGCCTAAGGAAGAGGTTCACATGGGGTCTTGCAGCGAGTGCAGTGGTCTGGCTTGAATTCCCCAATACCGCATGGGGTGACAGCTCCCTCAACCTACCAAGTTCCCAATGAAAAGGTTCACATGTGGTCCTACAGAAGTGCCGGTGGTCTGGACTTGGAATGCCAGTGGTCTGGACTTGGATTTCCAATGCCATTGATGACAGCTCCCTCACCCTACCAGGTTCCCATTGAAAAGGTTCACATGGGGTCTACAGGAATACGGGTAGCTGGACTTGGATATCCAATGCTGCATTGAATGCGCTCCCTCAAGCTACCAAGTGCCTAAGGAAGAGGTTCACATGGATCTTGCAGCGAGTGCAAGTGGTCTGGATTTGGATTCCCCAATGCTGCATTGAGTGACAGCTTCCTCACCCTTTCAGATTCCTAAAGAAAAGGATCACATGGGGTCTTGCAGGGAATGCGCGCCGGTGGTCTGGATTTGGATTCTCAATGCCGCGATAAAGTTGAGCTTATAAGCCCAATAATTGCCTCCACTCTCACCGAGCATGAAACATTTTTGAGAAGTTACTGGATTAACAGTCAGCCCTACTTAGTGATTCCCCTCGTCATCCACTGTAGAAAGGTCTCGAGGCCTGTAGTTCGATCCCCGGTATGTGGATCTAGCTTCCACCTCGAGGAAACTCGCATTGATCAGTCAACATTACCTAGTTATTGTAGCGTGCACTAGTTAAATAATATCGTCCTCCTTACTGAATATACAAGTCTGCTGTTACTACACGGCAGGGCTCCAAGGTGGAATACGACAATTAAGCAAGGATGCCCCGTGAGTATCCCCCTGCTCCGTAAGCACGCACACTCGATCCGGGGGAGTTAAGGTCTTCATTCCCCGTGACTCATTCGTACCACACTCGTTAAGACTTTGGGGGAGAAGTTCACCCCGAACGGTGAGATGGGTAAGTCTCACTCGTAAATAGCATATGACGCACCTCTAGTAAATACACACAGACTATGGTGGGAGTTCTCCGTAGAACACCTCAATCGTGATTAGTCGTGGCAACGGAACACTAGGGGAAATCTCGTCTAAGACCTTCAGAATGGCTCTCCACAATAATGCCCCAGTTCGTGAGTTAAGAGAAGAAACTAGTATTCCGACTTCATACTAGTATTCGACAGTCAGCGCGATTCCTGCACAGGATCGCCGAAGAAACACATTCTTCACCACGTACATAAGTATCGCTCGTACGACGATTGCGTGCATGATCGATCCAACATAGTCCCGGAGCTTCTTCACGGTTCCGGGGGAGTGAATCCTGCACAGCGCGAGAACACGTACCTCCACTGACGTCAGTCGGATTCCGAATGAGAACCCGAATCTTCCACGTACCTCCACTGACGTACGTACATGAGAATCCTTCCAATGATCTCGAAGGCTAGCGCGTGATTACAGGCAGCGCTAAAGCGAAAGAAATTACCTGCAACCACACCAGTACCGTGGAATTAGTGCTGGGTGTATCCATCTGCTCGAACTCGAGAGTCACTCGAGAACCTGCAGAGCTGTTCGGCAATGGGGGAGCGATAAAGTTGAGCTTAATAAGCCCAATAATTGCCTCCACTCTCACCGAGCATGAAACACATTTTTGAGAAGTTACTGTGCCGCATGGAGTGACAGCTCCCTCGCCCTACCAAGTTCCTAAGGAAAAGGGTCACATTGGGTTCTACAGGAATGCGGGTAGTCTGGACTTGGATTCCCCAATGCTGCATGGAGTAAAAGCTCCCTCACCCTACCAGGTTCCCAATGAAAAGGTTCACTTGGGGTCCTACAGGAGTGCAAGTGGTCTGGGCTTGGATTCCCCAATACCGCATGGGGTGACAGCTCCCTTAACCTACCAAGTTCCCAATGAAAAGGTTCACATATGGTCCTACAGAAGTGCCGGTGGTCTGGACTTGGAATGCCAGTGGTCTGGACTTGGATTCTCCAATGCTGCATTGAATGACAGCTCCCTCAAGCTACCAAGTGCCTAAGGAAGAGGTTCACATGGGATCTTGCAGCGAGTGCCAGTGGTCTGGATTTGGATTCCCCAATGCTGCATTGAGTGACAGCTTCCTCACCCTTTCAGATTCCTAAAGAAAAGGATCACATTTAAAAAAAGGATCACATGGGTCTTGCAGGGAATGCGCGCCGGTGGTCTGGACTTGGATTCTCCAATGCCGCGATAAAGTTGAGCTTAATAAGCCCAATAATTGCCTCCACTCTCACCGAGCATGAAACACATTTTTGAGAAGTTACTGGATTAACAGTCAGCCCTACTGTAGTGATTCCCCTCGGTCATCCACTGTAGAAAGGTCTCGAGGCCTGTAGTTCGATCCGCAGTATGTGGATCTAGCTTCCACCTCGAGGAAACTCGCATTGATCAGTCAACATTACCTAGTTATTGTAGCGTGCACTAGTTAAATAATATCGTCCTCCTTACTGAATATACAAGTCTGCTGTTACTACACGATTCCCCAATGCCGCATTGACAGCTCCCTCACACTATAAGATTCCTAAGGAAAATGTTCACTTGGGGTCATACAGGAGTGTTGCTGTTCTGGACTTGGATTCCCTAATGCCGCGTGGAATGACAGGTCCCTCGCCCTACCAGTCCTAATGAATAGGTTCATTTGGGGTCCTACAGAAGTGCCGGTGGTCTGGGGTCCGACAGGAATGCCTGTGGTCTGAACTTGGATTCCCCAATGCTGCATTGAGTGGCAGCTTCCTCACCCTACCAGGTTCCTAAAGAAAAGGATCACATGGGGTCTTGCAGGGAATTCGCGCCGGTGGTCTGGACTACGATTCTCCAATGCCGCATGGAGTGGCAGCTCCCTCACCCTACCAAGTTCCTAAGGAAATGGTTCAATGGTGCACATGGGGTCTGGCAGGGAATGCCGGTGGTCTGGACTTGGATTCCCCAATGCCGTATTGACAGCTCCTCACCCTACAAGATTCCTAAGGAAAATCTTCACTTGGGGTCGTACAGGAGTGTTGCTGTTCTGGACTTGGATTTACCAATGCCGCATGGAATGACAACTCCCTCCAATAAGTTTCTTGAAGTTTCAGTTCCAATACTCAAGTAGTGGACTGGGTCTCGCTGAAACCCTTCCTCAGGGACAGCGGTAGTCAGGCAGTTCAGGGAGCCTTGTCGTGCCTCAGGAGTGTTCCAACACCTCCAGTAGGCACCAAACCAAGGACTTGGCCCTGTCAGTCAGACAGGAGGGCCAGCAGAGCTCTGCTGGGCCCTTTTGGGCCAGCTCTCCTCAGGAGCTGGGAGCCTTCGTTAATCAATCGTGCAGTGGCAGTCTGGGAACAGTACTATCTGCTACCTCCTACTGCTTCTGCCCGGCCTCAACAGGATGGGTATCAACTGCTGCGGTATCAAAGGGGCTACAAGCTAATCAGGATCGGTATCAATCTTTCGTACTATTTTCTTAACTATGGTAGAAAGGACGATCCTTTCTTGCTGCTTTGCTTGGAGATAAGCCAACTGCGCATGCTGGAGTTGTAGGCCAGCATAGCTGTTGGAGCTATCCCAGAGGAATCCAGAGCTCTCGCTCCTAAAAGTTATCGCTCCCCACGAGTTCGTGTGGATTCGCTCCCATGGGTCTGCCATGATGTACGATTAGTTACTAACTAACACTAAAAGGAAATCTGAAATCTGATGAAAAGGTAATTTGTCTTTTGTTGTTGTTTATTATTTATTGTTGTGCCAATTTCCTGAAATTGTGAGCTTGGAAATGAAGGACGTGTTGTGTGATTTCTGAAACTTGGACCTTGCAAGTCTTTGGGGTGAAACCTGGCATTGCTCCTTCTATTTGGGGAAGACGGTAGTGTTGTCACAGTATCCTCAGTCATTTGGGGATTCCATCAGTAGATATGACAGTCACTTTGGGGTGGCAGTCGCAAAGAACAATGGTGTCAAAGAACATTGGTGTCAGGGAACAAAGGTGTCAGAGAACATGTTCCATATGTTCCATGTGGAATCATGATCACTGTCACGCCGTTCTGTGTGGAACAATGATCACTGTCACGCTCAGACATTCTTCATGTCCCTTTGCCCAAAGTCTGTGTCCACTGAGACAGCCTCTGATGTACCATGAGACAACCTCAGATGTACCATGAGACACTCCAGTTTCCCACTCGACCCAGTAAGCACTTGCTGCACGTTCCTGCTTCCTCAATTCTCCCTTTCACACAACTTCCGTCATTCATTCCATCTTATTATGTACCTGACATGTATTCTTTCTCTTTTTTTGTTTTCTTTTGTTTTACTTCCTTGGGAAGGCTCCTGCAGGCATTTTTTCTTCATTTTGTTTTGTTTTGCTGGATTACAGTGTGCATGGTGCAAGGTTACCAACCTTGGACACGCATGCGATTGGATTCATGACCCTCCCGAGGTTTGCTCTTGGTCAAATAATCCGCATCCATTAGTGCCGTCTCACAGGGCACGATTTGGACAGTCCCGTCATCCACGTGTTGCCAGAAGTGATGGGCTTGTGTGTGGTAGTACCTGGTCCTGGATGTGAGACGATGATCACGGGCCAGAATCAAAGCTGCACTGTTGTCTTCAGCAGCCTTTGATGTAATGGTAACCCGCATCTCATGGGGCACTTCCAGGAGCTGGGTCAGTTCTTCCAACACACGCCGAATTGACAGCAGGACACGGAGACAGTGAGACAGAGCATAATACTCGGCCTCAGCAGTAGCCAGACAAATTGATGAAATGAGCCGGCTCTTCCACACCAGAGGGCACCCTCCAAGTTCAATGATGTAACCCATGCGTGATTTGGCACTGGATGCATCTTCCAATGGGTCAACTTGGTATAGCCCCGCAAAGTCAGAATCACTCATTGAGTTCACAGAGAGAGTTCCATCAGTGCGCATAATAGTGCCCTTGTCCTTGCTCCCAGCCAGGCGTATCTAAACAATCCTCTTCACAGC